TACTTGTTTCTCTCTCCTTTATTCCTAAAAATTTGAAAAAGTTTAAATATCCAATTATTACATATTTTAAAAATTTTAAAGTACATGAGGATGCACATCAAAAAACATATACTCTAGTAACTGCATAGTAAATATAAGATAACTAGTAACTAAATATAAAATAACCAATGATTTCTAGCTTACTCCAAGTTTTATAACAGGTTCATCAGCTCCATTCAAACTAAAATTGTAAACATCATTCCTGTGAAAATGAAGAGAAATATTAACTGCATTGTATAATAAATACATTTAGTCTATTCAAATATGAAAAAAAGATGAAAAATTACTTACGATGGGCATTCAGAAGTAACATTAACAAAAGTAGTCTTCAGTTTTCTATAACTTTTTTTCTGAACCTTTTCCTAAATACAAAAGAGGTTTACATAAAGCCATTAAAACTTGCATATTACTGTATGTGGCAAACAAACAACATGTACAATTACATTTTCATATAGTTTCCAGTCGTGCTTCCACTAATATAAATCTGGCTATATTAACATTTGTAACATTTTCCTTAATGTAAATTGAATAAAAATATACCCTAAAGAAAAGAAATCGCCACCTCCTAAAGATATCTGCACTCCTATATTCACTGCAGCGTTATTCACAATAACCAAGACATGGAAACAACCTAAGTGTTCGTCAACAGATGAACGGATAAGGAAATTGTGGTATATACATATATACAATGGAATATTATTCAGCCTTAAAAGTAGGAGATCCTGCCATTTTCCACAACATGGATGAACCTAGAGAACATTATGCTAAGTGAAATAGCCAGACACAGAAAGAAAAATACCACATGATCTCACATGTGGAAGCAAAAAAAAAAAAGTCAAATCCATAGAAATAGAGAATAAAACAGTGGTTATCAGAGCAAGGAAGCAAGAAGGAAATGGGGAGACGTAGGTCAAAAGACACAAAGTTGTGGGATGTAGGATGATGTAAGATGTTTAAGTCTCAAGATCTAACATAGAACATGAGGTCTAAAATTAATATTATATTGTACTTTGGGATATTTGCTAATGGAGTGGATTTTAGGTGCTCTTGCCACACACACACACACACACA